CCAGGGTGCAGCGGGGCAACTTTGGAGTGGCGCATTCGCGGACGGACGGCCAAGAAGTAGATCAGACACGCGCCCGAAGGAGGTCGACCGCCTAGCGCGTCGGCCTCACGGAGCCCGAGGTTCGGGGTTCCGTTCTGCCTCCGGCCTCCCCATCAGACACGCGCCCGAAGGAGGTCGACCGCCTAGCCGCTAGGCGCGTTAGCCTGACTGTGCCGGAGGTTCGGGGTTCCGTTCCGGCTCCGGCCTCCCCGCGTTCTCCCCGTGTTTCCTCCCATCTTCCGAAAACGTGCACGCACAAACACTCGAAATTGTCCCTCAGTGCGATTGTGAGCGCCGATGCTTGTTGGTCTCTGTGTGCCCTGCGACGGGCCGGCCACCGCTTCAGGGCGTCCCCCGCCGAAGGCCCAAAGACAGCCGGGATAGGCTCCGGCACGCCCGCGACCCCCCTGAGGAGAAGCCGATTGGAACATGGATGGGTGGATCAAAAAGACACCCACTTGAATGCAATGATTTGACTGCTCGCTCCATCATTTCAAGTCGATGCGCCGTACTCGCTTGTCCACCCAGCAATTTGACAGCAGAACAATAACCTTGAAATTCCTTTTGGGGAACTGAACATTATCGCCAATTACAAGTTCCTTAAAATAAAGCGGCAGAACCGCAAGCCCCTCCCAAGGATGTAAGTGAAGAATCCGAAACGCGCTACGCGTGCGTCTTGATGAGAGGTCGCAAGTTTCGAGGAGAAGACGCACGTGGCTGTCATGAAAGGTTTTCCAAGGCGGGCCGTGCTGGAAGGCTTGCATATGCGAAGACGAGACCGCTGCGCTTCGAGCATTTTGAAACCAGCATGAACAAAATCTCCTTGGATTTATCGCCGCAAAAGTCAGCAAATACTTTGCTTTCAAAAACCAGGGCCTCATTTCTTTTTTTTTTTTTTTTTTTAATTAATAGGATGCGGCTTGCAGGGAGTAGGGACGCGTCAGTTCAATGAAGCAAACGCTCAATGAGAGATGAAATCGCTGCAGGGACGCATGAATTAAAAAGCTACTTTCAAAGTTCTCTCTCCTGATAACTTGAAAGTTTCGTAATAAGGAGAGGAGGCGGAGGACGGCTTGTGTAATAATCCCCCCCCCCCCGCGTGCCCCGATTCATGTTTGTCATCACTTTGACCGGACACACAAAAACCACGGATTAAACATTCACGCGGCGACTGTCCCTGTCCGCTGTTGAATGAAAACACGTGCCGCCATGCGCTTCGTCTAAAAACGTTCACCGACTTGCTGCTTTCACTCATATCCGATATGCCGCCCCGTTCCTGTGTCGAGGCATCAATCACGCTGTCAACAAATGAGCTTTTATTTCGTGTCATTATTGATCACGTCATTTGCAAATGTCAAGGCTTTAAGGCCTTTTTTCCATCCTCGCAGCCATGACATTGATAATATGCTCCGGTCAACAAAAACACATCACGAGACATCTGATGCGGTGATGATGCATGAGCAAACTCAAGTATGAGAAGAAACGAGAACGGAGTGAGAGAACAATTGACTTGCCATGAAGATGAGAAACATTTTGGACCTCAAATATCATTCATGTGTAAATATACCCGTTATACACCTGCACGGTCATGATGACATACGTTTCAACGACTATAAATGGGCTCTCAACGTCAACTTGCCGACAACGATTCGTTGCATGACGCCTCGACGGATGCGTTTGGCGGTTACCTCACGCGTGACGAACTTCATCCTCGCATGGAAGTCGTTGCTATTGTCAATATCAATGAGGCGTCCCACGGGGTTACATCCCGAGTCCCTTTATGTTCTGGCGATGCCGTAAGATTCTTCCAGGCGTCTTTGTTTGTGCAATTCTGAAGTACTCTCTTCATTTGATCAAATGATGTTTACACGTAACGACGCCAAGTCTTCATACCTAGAGGCTATACATTCCCGAGTCTCGTTTGTGCTGTCTCAAAACCTGTCGGTTGTGTTGACCGACTCACAGTATAGACGACCGTCTCATCGTCTTCCTCGCATTGCCGCGCTCCCCCGGAAGTCGGCTCTAAAAATTCAAATTGAAAACGGGGACGATTGACGATGCGAAAGCGCAGCTCGTCAATTATCGGCGTAAACAGACGTCGGAGAGCTTTGAGAGTAATTAGCCAGGACTTCCCTCGACCAAACGCCATTCAAGCCCGTCAAGCGTGCCAGAGGACAAAAACGGTGAAGCAGCTGAACTGTAAAAGCAATCAGCGGGTGCCAGCATAAGACCGGCGCTCTTTATTAGCATCTCATTACTGCTCAACAGCTGAGACGACCGCTTAATTGGAGCTCATTTTTGAATGTATTCATGGGATGGTGGTGATTACAGCGGCCAACGAAGGGGGAACTGGCCACGTTGTTGACTTCCAGTATAGAAGCTGGACTCATTCTTTTCTAGTCTATTACAAAGTTAACGTCATGTGACTCACAGCCGCAAAAGATTTGCGGTAGCAGTTATTGAAATGGACAGAATATCCCCTAGTTCACCGTTAGGATTCTCCTTTAAGAAATAGGGATAGGTCGAAACTCCTGACCGCAGTTTTCATCAATGTATGTTAATATAATTAAAAGTGTATTATTATTGATCCAAACATTCAAAGAACACGCATCAACACAAAAAAACAAGTCTCGTGGCCAAAACCCAAATGGCCCGAGGCTTAAGACACCACCCTGAGGTACGCCTCACTGACATTTTGAACAATGAACTTATCCGTGGTAGTAATTAACTACTGCCATCAAATTTCAGCTCGAAATGCGGGCTCAGCTTTCATGACCATTGTATATTCTTCGAATGGATGGATGAAAACAAAAGTCCTTTTTCTTCTTCCCTCTTCTTACTGCGCGATTCAAATCTCATCGGACTAATTCAAGTCAGTCATATTGTAGACATTTGAAGGTGCTGTTGCACATCTAAACCACCAGAGAGCGTGCCTACCAAGGTGACCAAACAATGACTAGTGAGTGCATTCTGTTGATTCAGCGTAATGCAACGTTTGCACCCAACAGGCGCGAGGTTGGCAACAGTACGATTGATTGCCTAACATTACGGTCGACGTCGATACATTTGTCAGTTGCGTCAAGGTGTTTGGCTCACTCCCGTTTGCATCTTGTCATCCGAGTGGGCCCAACGCCATGCCCTCATTTTGACTAAACAAATCTTTTTTCGACCTTCTCATGTGTCACACCGATGCGCTTCCGCGAGCTGCAAACGAACGACAACGCTCCGCCCGCGCGTCGTACATTTGACAAAACGAATCGAGTTCACCCACTTATCGAACGGATGGGTCTCTGCTGCCGCCAAACGCACGAAAGCGAGTCGTCATTCGCAAAGTTTAAAGGATGCTGTGAACATGCGGCAATACAAAAAGTTCTTTCCAGGGCGACGGCTGATAAGAAACAAACAATCGCATCATAAATGTTGAATGTTCAAATGGACTCAATGGCTTGTGAATGAAACTTCAATGAACATTAAAGGTCTTCGGAGGGCCGCCTCGCTATCATTAATCAACAACCATGACTCGTACATGAGGAAACAATAAGATCGACAGGTGACAAATGCATGGATGAAGTCATCATTTAATGGCTTCATCCTTAATTGTTAGAATTAGTCGATTTGTGTTTTTAAAGATATTTTGTGGCAAAATATGGTCTCTTTACTCTGGCATATTTTGAAAAGGTCTTGCTACGGCACAGGGGTTTTTTGTTGTGTTTTTTCTTCTCCATCTCCAAGATGTCTATTTCTATCACATGGCTTCTGGGGGACTTTGCGACGCGGACACCGAGGTGTTTGCGGCATCAACAAGCCCGTATCTTGGAAACGAGAGACACGCAAGATCATTGGCGCCTCCGTCTTCCCGGAGGCACGCTAACGTTTTCCCTCGGCATTGAGACAAATGAATAAATAACAAGCACGAAACATGAACCACCTGGCCACCGACAGGTGCCTCCTCCAAAAAAAGAGCAGAAGTAGCACAAATAGTTCCGTTTTGTTTTCTTAAAGGTGTTGTCCCATTGTCATTGGAAACGAGTCGAACCAGAACTTATTCCAAACAAACAGCGAGCCGCACACACCGCAAGACACACCCCTTTGTGCGGATATCGTCTGCTCAGACTTATCGTCTACTTGTTATACGATACTTATCGTATCGTCGAGTAAAATGAGCGGTCCGTCACATTGATGGCTCGGTGACGTATCCAAAATGAATCAAATGTTGGGGATAACCACGTATTGGTACATACAGATCCATAGGAAGATGTCGAAATACTGTTGACAAAATAGCAAAAGCAAATCAAAAAAACAAAGAGGCATCCTTGAGAATAAAAGCAGAGAGCTCGTGCACATCTAATGATGAACCGAGGGCTGCGCTGCTGGTCAAACAGTCCTGACTGAGTCAACAATGAGTAGAAAGCATGACCGGGTTGAAGTTGGAGGTCGGTCCGTGCGACTGTTGCGCTGCTGCTTTTCACGTCACTTTGTGAGAAGCAAAATGAAATGACGGGAGGGGGGGGGCAAACGAGCGGTTTCATTGAAAGAGAAAGAAAGCGCGTTCTCTGGGAGTGAGCCTTGAGGAACACCGGTGCTTGTTGAACAGGGAAAATAATTCCAAAGTCAACTCCGTATTGCATTGCAAAAGTCTTGGTTGCAATAACGACGAGAATACAAAGAGATTTTCCAGGTCTGAGCCAAATCCAGAAAGTTTGCCCCCCTAGAGGCTCGCCATGTCAGGCTGGCAGATGCCGCCTCAGAAGTGGCAGAACATGTTTGGAGCCACACCCAGCAACGGATGACTTCTTGTTTGCCACCGGCGCTTCCACTCGTTGAGCGGTCGGCTTGTTTCGATGGCTTAAAGTTGATGTCGCTGCATTTTTTTCGTTTTGTTTTCTTTGTTCCGCTTCGCGTGGCGCGCGGCCCCGCCTCCTGTCGGCAAGTTCCTCCGAGCGCCCTACCAAAGGACGAGCGGTAACGTGAGAATCGCTCCGCCGCGAAACAAAGTGACCCCGATGAGCACCCGCTTGGGCTCGGCGCCCTCGGCGAATTGCTTCTTTGTTTTGGGTGCGACGGTCGAAAAGGCCGACGCGGCAAGTCGCGTCAACAGTGACTCCGTTACCGCGCGCAATCGGGAGCCTCTGCGCTATTTCCTATTCCTCACCCATTTGGCCGTTCATACTCACTTGGTGCCGTTGAATTTTTGGACAAACTAGACTTGGGTAAAGTGTTTTTTTTTGTTTTGTTTTTGAAAACAACGTCTATTGAATCGTTTGATAGATTGAGTGTATTGAAGAAAAGAAAAAAAACTGGGCCAAAATGCTTTCAACTGCCTGCCGGTATTGCATTGGTTGGTTAAGACGTTATGAAGGCTATTCCACAAATAATTGACTCTTCTTTTCCTTTGTTCTTGCCACTCCTCTCGACTTCCTGCTCAACTTCTTAAACGCCCAGGTTTCGATTTTCTCGAAACAGTTGCCTGCAGGACGTGGCGCACTTGGAGCACGGGTGAGAAACTTTCCATTCGACACTTGTTTCAAGTATTCCATTTTGACCAATTCTTTCAGGAGTGTGTGTGTGTGTGTGTGTGTGTGTGTGTGTGTGTGTGTGTGTGTGTGTGTGCGCGTGTGCATGCGCGTGCGCGGTAGTTTTGTCCCCTCCCTGGAGTTTGAGAGGCTCTCTGTGTTTCTTGTTGCATTTGTGTGCTTCTCCTAGATGGGGATGCCCAAAGTTGAGTCCCGTAGAGCCCCTCTGCAGCCTTTTTTCGACGTCTCCCTCTTCCAACACAACTGATCCAAGTGCTCGGGATCGTCATCAGGCTTCTCGGAGCTTCGTGATGAGCTGATCATTTGAATCAGGTGTTGGCGGAAGGTGACTTGGGACCCCTTTCTTTCCCCTTTGTACCCCTCTTGAGTTAGCGTTGTCATCCGGGGTTGGCAGGGGGCAGCCGATGATTTTTTGTGCCGCCTTTATTTCTACGTTTGTTCAAAAGTTCCAAGTCACGGTGACATGTAACTTTTTGAAGAAGTGCCCGACTATTCTCGACTCGTTGATAAGAATCAGGCGATCTTGTGGTCGGAACGTGCGTCCGAGCGGTTGCCTCCTGCGGTTCCTCTCCGCGGCAACAAATTGCAACGATATAACCTGAACGCATCGGCACATTTCAACATGAAAAAAAGCCTCAAATCTTCAAATGAGCGTATCGATAAACGTATACTGCCCGCACCTTTCGAATTATGGTTCACGATTTCTTATTTGAAGATCAACATATTCAAACCTGTTCAGTTTTTTGGTTTGTTTATAAAACAAGCGTAGCCATATTTAAGGGGGAAAAAGATGCTTGAATCAAGTGAAATGCTCTGACAGAAAAGTGGCAGGCAAGAAAAAGCAACAGCAAGCATGTTTTACTCTGCTTTGAGATCTGAAATGTGTCTTGAACCGTGTTTGTTGCAGGTTACTCCGTCCAAAGTCTGCCGAAACGGAGGACGAGTGCCACTCAAAGCGAATGGAACCTCATCTGACTTCTTAGGCCTTTGAGTCATTTGGGAGGGACGCAAAAGGCATTTCACCTGAAACTCCGCCCGCCCGCCCGCAAGAATGAAGATGAATTCCACAGCGAAGGTGCTCGCCGCGGCGCTCACGGTCGCCCTCATCTGTTTGTTTTTGAACGATCCCGTGTCGGAATACTTTGCGCACGCGAGTCCGGCAGAGGACGACTCCTGGTTCACGCGGCGCTTCGACAAATCCGTCGAACCGTTTTTAACCGGGAAAAAGAACCTTTCCGCGGACGCGTTCGACTGGTGGAAGGCGAGTACGGCCGGTCTCTCGTCGGACTCGGAAGTCGCGTGCAAACGTGGCTCGGCTCGGCTAACCCGTTTGCGTTTATGCGGCAGCGGTTGCAGCCGTTGGAAGAACAGACCGTCGATGACTACCGAGCGGCGGCGGATGGCTTGTTGAAGACGTTTCCGGCCATGTCGAAGGGAGCGCGGCGCTGCGGAACGTGCGCGGTGGTGGGCAATTCTGCAAATTTGAAAGATTCTCATTATGGACGGCTGATCGATATCCACGACGCGGTGCTGAGGTAAATCGGATACGAGTTCATTGAAAGCAACGCCGTGAGTGTGTTCCGTCCGTCCTACCGTAAGACGGACGGAGCCGAATGTTTGAGGCATATCAGTTCCTCTCTGGGCTCATCGGCACAGCACTAATATGAGACATTCTACACCGAGGATGAAGAGCACATCTTGTACAGTACATCTTGGATGCGGGCACGTGCCTTTCATTTGACACGCCAAACGGCAACGCCTGGCACGGGAAGACTTGATGTCTGCACTTTTCGGAGCGCCGTTGTCATCCTTTTCCACGAAGCCGTTGATTTGCTGACGCGGTTGTTGTCATCTGATTGATGACGTACTGATTTCAAACAAAGCAAAACTGCCTTTCGTGTTCATTCGAGGTTCAAATGTCATTATTTTAGTGGAAGCGTAACCTGCAAGAGCAAAACATTCTTGGCGTTAATTAAAAGAAATACATCAAATAATCACAGATGAAATCATAATCGCGATAATGGGGGGGGGCAGTATGGTCCTTTTTAATCATGCTCGGGCCGGTCTGTGAATCACGCAAATCTCCCTGTAATTTGGCAGCGATTGAAATGCACATGTTCCCCCCCCACAAACTCAAAATATTATTATAATTTTTTTTTCCACGGAATATGGGGCAAATGGGGAAAAATGTAAAAAAAAAAAAGATCTGTGAAAATGCGAGTCCGCGGGTGCTGAACCATGAGTATGGGGGGGGGGGGGGGGGGGGGGGGGGGGTTGCTTTTTTTTTTTCTCTCTCTCTCTCAGAATCCTTCTCCCCGAAAACAAACGTGTCCGATATGATTTGCCCAACATCACAATGTACTGAACGAATCTCCTCAATGGATCAATCCCACAGAATGAACAAAAGTCCCGTCAAAGGCTACGAAGACGACGTGGGCAGCAAAACGACCCACCGCCTCATGTATCCCGAGAGCGCCGCCGACTTGGACGACGTCACTCATCTCGTGCTGGCCCCTTTCAAGATCATGGACATGGTGTGGCTGCAAAAAGCCCTCACCACCGGTTTTCCGGGAAAGCAAGTGAAATGATCATCTCTTGTCCTCGTTTGCCTTCCTCCAACCAGAATCAATACAAGAGGAGCAATAGGGGCTCCATAGTGATCCAAGATTCACTTTATGATGATGATTCCCTTTTTTTTTTAATACCGAGACTTGGAAGGGAAAAACGTGCAGCGAACAAGCCGCTCGGCCATCATCGCAACATCGAGCCTTTGTGTTCTTTTCCACCAGGACGTACGAAGCGGTGAGGTCGACCGTTCGGGCCAACAAGAATCTGGTGAGCGTTGTTTTCAAAGGCCGTCGCATAGTTCGCACCGACGGCGTCGCGTCGTGTCGTGTCATGGCAAAGACTCGTTTCCCTCTTCTACCGAGGTGATGGCGCTCAATCCGGCCTTCATCGCTTATGTTCATCGAACGTGGCTGAGGAGGAGCGCCGGATATCCCTCCACAGGATTCTTGGCCGTCATTCTTGCCCTGCACATATGCCGAGAGGTGACCGCTTCTTTCGCGATTCATCAATACGAAAGCCGCATCCCAAAAGAACGAAGAATAGAAAACGGACTTTGCGTCGTCAGCCGGCCTGAAATGGAATGTTTTTGTCGGAACAGGTCCGCGTGTTTGGTTACGGCGCCGACAGCGACGGAAACTGGAGTCACTACTGGGAAAAACTCCGCCATCCAAAACTCGGAACGGGATTGCACTACGGAAAAGAGGAGTATGACGTCATCCAAAAGCTGGCCGTGCGACAAAAAATCCATTTTTTTAAAAACTCTTCTCCAAAATTTTGAAAAGATTGTACTTTTTTGGGGGGGGGGGGTAGTTGAGCTTATATTCTGTAACGCGCGTGTGACGACGGGGGCTCCCATTTGACCCCCAACCTGCGGGCTTAACAAAAACACCGAGGATCACGTGACGCTCAACATTTTCTCCGGGCTATTTTGCGCGATGCCGGGCTACCGTGGCTCGGCAAGACAAACAAACAAAAAGTCGTTCATATCCTCTATTCGGCGCAGGTTGGCAGTTGGTACGCAGACCTCCTGCAGTCAGTCACCCGCGCCAAGTCCGTTGGGACGCGCACTGACACCACCTGAAAAAGTGGCTGTCGCTCCGCTTGCTGGGATTCGTTCGTGTGTATTGGCACCTGCATGAAAAAAAAAAACAACCCTCGTCCGTTTAAAGCCGACCAAACGGTGTCGGTGCGAATCCAAGTTTAGCATCAAAAAACGCCTGACGCGATACGTCCGCCGGATGTACTACGGCGCCGGTTTCATCCTCAAGCCGAGGGCTGCGATCACCCACCTTAAAATGAGTAGCGCTTGTCTTTTCAGATGTTGCATATATTCCTGCAGGAATGTGAATTGCTCTTTTTTCCAATCCATAAGAGAAATGTGGACTTTATTCTCATAAAAAAAAACAAAAACAAAAAATGTTGAATTGTCCCGAGACCTTCATGATTTGAAATGTGATTTTTCTGTCGAAAATAAAACTCAACTGTATTGTCCAGTATAAAAGGGTCAATAAACGGGGTGCCCAAACTGGCCCCGACGCATCCTTCCTTGTTCTTCGGCGGGGACGATTGGCAGCTGGCAAACGAGCTCGGTGGCGCGTCGCTGCCACCGAATGATCTTGTCCGCCCGCCGCGAGGGAGCCGGGCCCGTTGCCGTTGCGGCGCGGGCCGCCGCCGTCTTCTACTTGGAATAGTTTGGGTGAGGAGAAGCTGCGCTTGGATCGGGTTACGTGAAGCCACGTTGCGGTTTCTGCTTTGTCGGTGAGAATCGCGCCTCGGGTGCTGTCGCATGCCTGTTTGGCCAATTCGGTGGAAGTCCTACTTGCGGTGGACTGACCCCGCCCCTCCCGAAGAGAGTTAGAATTGCCCATATGAACACTTTCAGCTCCAAATAACCGATCGAGCTCTTTAGATCTAAAAAACGTGATGCACTTTGGAACAATCCGTGCGGATTTCAGTGTGCGTTCCCTCCCAGCCCAGATGCAGAGAAACTACTGCTCGGTCACAAATAATGGCCTCCAAAAGTTTGAATGGAAACCCGTTCTAAGCCCATTGTCGTCGGACACCAAGACGGCAAAGATTCCCGCAACGCTGAATGGCAAAACAAATACGTTCTATCGTCTCATCTGTGAATCGTCATTCGGCGCGGACGCACCCCAAGCGCGCTATTTGTCGTCTCTCTCCAAACAATTCCCAAGCGTTGACCGTGACCGTTTCAAGAATGTCGCCGTGCGGCGTTACGCGGATGTGACGCGCAGAGGTCGACGGCGGCCGCTCGCCCTCAGCGCGATGTCAAAAATGGGCAAGGGAGGCGCGCGCGAGCCGGAATTTCCGAGCCTCGGGCCCAAATGACATTAAAAGGGCTCATTCGTGCTCATCGGAGGTGGCAAAAGTGCCGATACTTATCTGAAAAAAAGTCTCTAGCGCAACGGTGCCTCGTCGTCGGCCACGAGCGCGCGCGCGTCGCCACGAAAAACGGAATAACGGCGCGGCGCGAAATGAAACAAAACGGCGAGCATGGAAATCCCGGAAAAATCTTGGTCAGTAAGTTCAGCGTAAGTCATTTGCGCTTCATTATGACCGCCGATTGTTGTCAACGAGTGAACCTTTGCTCTTCACGGCCCTGTCGCGAACGGCAAACATCTGTGACTAATTGAGGTCTCTCTCCCCCCCCCCCAAAAAGCGGTTGAACATTTCTTCGGGATGCGGCAGGGTGACGGAAAAAGCGTCGATACGGCGAGGATCATAAAGCACCGACGCCGTCCATCTAACGTGTATCCGTGTTACATAAGCGACCGCGCTCAGTCCAAATAGCCGACGCAAGCGGGCTAATTGTTGCGGCAAAGTAAAGTGACGAGGGCCGTTCCATTTGCGCGCCCTTAGCGGCTTTTTAACTTTGCCGCCGTCCGGTGCCGCTTGCGTACAAATTGCGTCTCTTCTCCGCGCTTCCGTTCTTGTTTGTTCGAAGGTCCCGTTTTTGTCGCGGTGCGGGATAAGCTGCGTCCGCGGCGACGCTTTCGCGCCGTCTCCTCCGGATGTCGAGCTTCGGCAGAACGTGGCGGGGGCCACCTCGTGACGCCGGCTGGGTCTTACCGCGCTGCCTCCAAGGTGAGGAACTGCGCGCAAGGTGACCGTTTTTTCGCAGCCGCGGGGCACGGATTCCAAAACTACTTTTGACCGGACGGTCACGCGTCCCAAGACTCATTGCGTGCGCTTTCAAATGAAGACGCTGAACATGGAGTGCATTGACGGCATAAAGCCACGATTATTTCCCGTTTCCGGATGACATTCAAAACTGAGCCCCGCATTTGCATTGTCATTTGATCCTTGCGAGTGGGTTCAGCTTAGGTGTTCCCCCCCCCCCCGCCCCCCTTTCATGATGTCACTTGACAAATGAAAGCCGGCGTTGCCGCGGCTCCTCGTGTTACGCTTCAAATTTCTCTCGGTTTTGTGATGTTGACATCGTCTTTTGAAATTCCTCGAGACGAACGCGTGAGATCCACGCCCACTCGAGCGGAAACCCGGAGACGACCGTTCTTGCTCCGGGGATTCGGAGTGGGAAAAGCAGGCCGCGGTGCCGGATTTCTCCCGGTCGTGCCGTCCTGGTGTCGCGGGGCGAGCTGAATTAGGACCCGGAAGCAGACGTTGAAAAGTCGCCAGGAAAATACAAAGTAAGTACAGAGAGCGGGGCCGGCCGGCCGGCCGGCCGGCGGAAGACGCGGGAGAGAGCCGACGCGCCGACTGCGAGAACGCAAACCGTCCCGACACCTTCTTGCCTCTCCTCTGAGAAATCAACGGGAGTGTCCGGACGCTATCTGGCGATGCGCTCGATTTTGGCCGATGACAAAAGCCACCGCCTCCCTTCCCCGACCCTCCCCTTCCCGCCGGTTACCTGTCGGACCTGCTTCTCGTCCCTTCTGCCACTGTCACCCTTAACCGCAACGATTCACACCTCGTTTCTGTGCCAGGTAAGCGCATGGTTTTCAATTGATCATTGGACGGCTCAAAAGATTTCACTCTTTTTTTTTTTTTTGCAAAGGCACCAAATGAACACCGGAACACGGTTTGTTAAGATGGCAAAGTAAATACGCGGCACTTACGGTCGTGACGTAACCAAATAGACGATCGGGACGTTTTGATCGTTTTCATTGGCTCTAAAATAGACTCGAATCCAGTTCAACCGCAGGCTTGTTTCCTGACATGACAGCATACAAAAGAAACGTCTCATCTGTTCCGTCAAATCTTTTTGTCCTCGCTCAAGAGTAAAAAAAATCGAGATATTCAGGGCAGAACTGTCCAAACAAAGGTGAGGCGGAGAGAGGGACACAAACAACTTTGGCCAAAGCGTAGGGAGTTTCAATTTCTGACACGTTGCGAGGCGATCCGATATCTCCAAATGGCGTCGGACCCGGCAAAAGCTGAACGGAAGGAAACAAACGATGGACGAGCGAGGACGAGAAGCGGGCAAAGGAGAAGCCGAACCCCTCGGGGACCCGAGCGCTTTCATCATCAAACGCAACAAGCCCAAAGGAGCCAAGAGCAGAAGGACATCCGAGTGGAAAAAGGATTACCGGGAGAATAGTCTGCGCTTCACCAAAACGGCCTCGGCAGTAATAGCGTCATCATCGAAATAAGACTATTCTGAAATCAAATAGTGTGTCGTTGTCATTGTCACGGGCCCGACGCGGATCCATTTCTATTCCGTCTCGATGCGTGCGCGGTTTGGGTCGGGCTCCCCGGAGGAGGGGCCGATTCATCGACGGGCTTACCTCGTCTTTCAACGACGCTTCAAGTCAAGCGGCTCCGGATTTCAACGACCGCCTTGTTTTTCTTTGTGCCCGTCGAAGCCCCGGCCGGCCGCGCTCCTCCGAGAACGGGTTTTGGAGCGGAGACCTGATGTCTTCAAATCCAAATTTCAACCTTAGCTTTTGCAAAACGTATTTGACGCGCGCTTGTCGTCCACACGGCATGAGCATTTAGAGCCAACTTTCCCCACAAAAGGCTGGTTCCGGCAAATGTCGCCCTTAACACGGCAACAACTTGTGACATCTAGACAGGGATTAGTCGGGGGCCTAAGATGGAGCCCTGAGGAGCACGGTTCCCCATTTTGAGCCGTTTTGGTGCGAGTGCGTCAAACCAAACCCGTTCCAACCTGACGGATCTTTTTTCAACGGATGTGCGAAAATGTCTACGCGTCATGGATGCTCTTTGTACGATGGAATATTCTGTCCCAAGTCATCGCGCTTCCGCTTATTGTGTCCCGCAGGCCCAGGGGATGTTGTGCGCAGCGGGGAAAAGCAGGATCCTGCTCGTGGTCTTGTGTTTGGCTGCTGCCGGTTTGTTGTGTAAATCCAAATGGAATCTGCCCGACTTGTATTCGCAGGAGTTGCGTGAATGCAACTGCCCGAAATGTTTGACTGATGGCGAGAATGACTTCAAAGCGCAAATGGACGCGTCGCCAAAGCCGTTTTTGTCCATACCAAGCCCAACATCGGAGGATGATTTCAACTGGTGGAAGGTAGGTGAACATCTCATTCCGGCGTTTTTGCCTCCTATCGCGTTTCGGTCACGTCAGTCTCGCGTTGACCGGGTCCAGCCGAGGAGTCTGCTTCATACGAGCGGATATTTTGGGAATTGTGTCACTTGGACCGACACAAAAACTGGCCTTCGGACGTTATGGCTCAAGACTTGCAGTTTTGTATCTTCATGTCACTTTTTCTCATTTGTTGATGTCCTATCTATCTCTATTTTTCAGAACTTGCAGCTGGAACAGCGCCCCTTCAGATTTTTCAATGAAACTGTGGACAAACTCTTGGCAATCTTTCCAAGCAGCCCGCCGCTTGAGCGGCGATCGCCCGACCGCTGCAGGACTTGTGCGGTGGTGGGCAATTCCGGGAACCTCAAGGGATCGCGCTACGGACCTCTGATTGATCAACATAGCATCGTAATCAGGTAACCGCACGACCCTCGTTCGTGGACAGTGGCGCAAGATTGACTTTAGTGAATGTGGGGGGGAAAAAAAAAATCATTTTTCTTGTTATTGTTGTTGTTGCCGTGTGTATTTATTCGTTAATATTTTGGGGGATTCATCGCATTTCCAGTCTCGAGTGGGGAAGGTTCATTTCAAAGTCAAGTTAGTTGAGTGATAAGCGTGCCGCCGCCGTTTTCACGGCTTCCCTGATTCCTGTAGAATGAACCGCGGACACACAAAGGGCTACGAGTCGGACGTCGGCACCAAGACGACTCATCACGTCATGTATCCCGAGAGCGCCATCCATTTGGACAACAGCACGCGCCTCGTGTTCTTTCCCTTCAAGATCAATGACTTGCTTTGGTTGCTCAAGAACTTTGCGCCTCGGTACGTGTTGCCATCGAAACCCGATAGATACTCATTTGGCCACTCGCCGGAGTTTGGGCGGTCAAGTGAGCGGTAAATTGCGCCGCAAAAAAAAAAAAAAGGCCGTTAAAAATATCTAGATGTTGATCGCTTCTGTCTAAACATAGCGTCGGTCATAGAAAATTTAGGAGTGGGGTGTCCAAGCTCGGTCACCGAGATCCACGTGGGTCTACAACTCTGCGCACGCATGCCGCTTGATTTTTTTCCTCATTTTATTCTGAAAAATGATACGTGCGTCTACTGCTGCGTTTAACTTCAACAGAGAAAACGGTCAGGAGGACACAAAGCGGATTGCCAACAAGGACTTGGTGAGTCTGACCTGGGGCTGTGCATCACACTCCAAAAAACCATCTTATGTATACTGCGGATGCAAATGGTGAGCATACTTGAGTGCAAAATGTGCGCTCAAGAGATCGATTGAAACGGTTGATTGAAATGTTCGAACAGTTTTAGGGCAATTTCTAAGTGTATAGCAAGTAAACTCCGATGCACTTTATTCGTTTCTGCGAGGAAAGCGTACCTGTGCTTCAAGTCGCACATTAGCACTTTGAAAAACATTTTTAAATCTTACCAATATTTTTCGGTTCAAAAGCAACTTACGCAACGGTAGGATTTCAAAGAATTTGATGCGTCGTCTTTATGTTTCAATATTTTCTGCTTTTGTACCGCACATAATAAACGATCGATGGAATAATGGCGATTTCGGTTCTGCCCAATCATCGCGATTCATATTTTAATCGCACTCATGATTATCGTCGAGCGGCACGAGTCCGACCCGTCGATAATCGCATCCGCCAACTTTATTTGTTTTCTTGTGATACCGTTCTCCTTCGTTTCAGTTTATGAGTCTGACTTGCGACAGGTGATGATCATCAACCCGGGATTCATGAAATACGCTCATGAAATGTGGCTGAAAAAGCGAGGCCGCTACCCATCCACTGGCTTCATGACCGTGGTGCTCAGCTTGCAAATATGCGACGAGGTAGGCGCCCGCCTCCACTTTAGCGGGTTCACAAACGGAATTGAAAAGGACCAAGAAGAAAAAACCTTTCTGTGAAACTAGGTTGGGGTGGGGGGAAGGAATTTATGAAGAAACGTTGACAAAAAGTGGACTTGAATTCAAAGGTACTTCACGTTCATATCACATGAGAAATAGAAAAATCCTCAAGGGTGAAATGCGAGTGAGTGCTTCAGCATACCGCTAGAGGGAGCCACATCCCATGCCTGGCTTGTTACACTAATGCCAGTTAGGTTAGGAGCAGTAGTGTGTGTGTGTGTGTGTGTGTGTGTGTGTGTGTGTGTGTGTGTG